ATCTGCCTCACCCGAGAAGAGCGCAATAATAATACCAACATGGGCCAGTGAAGTGATGTCCTCTACAACTAGACTGAAGAACCAAAGAACAGCAACTTGTCTAACATTTCTTTTACAAAAAGTACCTTTGAAAACATCTTTTCTTCCCTTTTCCACAAATCCCAATTGTTTATCTCTGTAATTAAGGGAATCAAAGGGAATGGACACACAGTCTCAGATTCAACAGAGATGAATTTAAATTTTTAAGGGTCTGTGGTAGAGACTTGAAGCTCTTTATCTTCTTTAGTGTCATGGAGGTCTGACTGACATGTAGAACTGTTTTGGATGACGGATATACTGGCACCGTCCAGGACAGCAGCAACCAGCCAATGTGGCTATTTGAGCGTTTGAATGCTGCTAGTGAGGGTGGAGCTGAATTTTAAGTTCAATTTAATTCATTTAAATTCAAACAGCCGTATGTGGCCAGTGGCTACTCTATCCAGACAGCGCAGGTCTGAAAGACTCATCACACATGCAACATAATTATTTCTGACAATCCAGCTTTAAAGTGAACATATATAAAAAGTTAGTACTAACCCAAACTAGCCAACACTCCACATGTTCGATTTTGTGAATTTAGCAGACTGCAAAGCATTAGACACACAGACATAGTCTAGTCTAAGCCAAAAACAAAACAAATAAAACCAAAAAAAAAAAACCCACAAAAAATATTACCTTTTCTCCATGCTTTATAGTATGAAGCAGAAGCTGGCCAATAACTTTCTTGGTTTCTTTTCTATGGCTCTTAGGTAGGAAAAAAATTATTGTTATTATTGAAAATTTTATGTTAAAGGAAGCTTACAGAAAAAAATTCATTTAAAAAACAAGGTTAAACGACTACAATGAAAATAATTTCAAAAATTACCATTTAAGTCTTAATGTATAAAACAGCCACATGTAACTTAAGAGCTGTTGATCAGAATATTTATTTTTAATTCCATGTCTAAAGAAGAACCCAATTCTAATCTTAGGTTTAAACACTGGCAGTAAACTGGTATGTTGAGGATGGGGGTCCCATAACTCATCTATTAACGTCTAAAAGGAGAGAGGCTTCCTAGTCACCAGGTAGAAGATGACCCAGAAATGGCTACCTACTGCCTACAAAGCCAGGAAGGGCAGTTTCTCAAGACAACAGAGGGAAGTGGGAAATTCAAAAGGCCTGCCTTTGGAAGGCTCTGGCTTTTCAACTGCCCTCCTCTTTGCTGTTACTGGGACAGTGTTTCTCTGCAGATAAATGGCTTTGAAAGTTGCTCCATGATGGAGACGGGGAAGCCCATTCCACTCTGTTCTTCACCTTGAGGCCTAGGGTTCTCTTTAGAAACACAGAACCAGGTCCCCTCTACCTCATGCCTTTTTGCCATTCCTTTATGTCTGGAAAAGGTCAAAGGGGGTATCTGCAGGAGCAAAACGTGCAAAAAGTGAGCTGGATTTAAAGGTAATCCAATTTCCCACAGAACAGAAAATATATTCTAACTAAAACATTATTTTCAGAAAAATCATATTAATGCTTAAATATTGTGAGTGAAAATTAAATTCAGAATAGGGTCCAATATAACTTCAAGCAATATACGTGGAAAAACTAAGAAAGTGTTTTTTTAAAAACAAAGTTAAAAAGAGTTATCCATACTTACCTGACTTCCAAACTGTGAGCCGGTGTACAGGAAACGCTGTATATAGTAAAATATTAGCCAGGCTAATGAGATAATCATCATGGTGATGAAAGCGATGGCCACAAACACCACAGATTGACCACTGATGAACTCCTGGACGTGACGGGTGCCAACCTCGATGGTCATTTTGACTGGAATTCCTTTTTGCACCAGATCCAAAATTTCCTTTCCTTTTGGATAGCTAACCATAATGACCACTATATTTCCTGTTCCTATAAGAAAGAACAAAGAAATCAATGTAAAGAACACAAAATAAGAAAACGTTAAGAGAAACTTAAGAGTACTATGGTTCATCCATGCATATACACTGGAAAATTTTGATAACATGGGTAATTTTTAAGGAAAACATAAGTTACCAAAATTGGTCCAAAAGAGAAAACAGACTGATTACATGAGAAGTAGAATAAATCACTAAGAAACTACCCCCCTAAAAGCAAGAGCCCCATTTAGTTTCACATGTGAATTCTACCATTAAACTTTTTGGTGGATGAGTAACACCAATGATATTTAAATTGTTTCACAGAAGACTAAGAAAATAAGTTTTAAATTGATTTCTAAGATAATAAAACTAAACATGTAGTGAAAAACAAGCAAAAGACCCATGCAGACCAATTTCACTTATGAATATCAATACGTAATGCCTAAAGCATGCCCATTACACTCAGGGAGGCAACCTGAGAATTTCTACTACTATCACCATTATTTACCATTGCTCTGAAGGCATGAGCAGACATACAATAAAAAAAGTATCTCTATAAATTAATGAAGTAACCATAAAATATTAACAGGATTTTTAAAATCTTAAAAGTGCTGCTTCTTATAGAAATGCTGCTTCTGAAGTTCATTTAGGGGGAAAATAATCAAGAATGATTGGGAAGGGGTGACCAGTTAGCTCAGTTGGTTAGAGCGTGGTGCTGGTAGCACCAAGGTTGCGGTTCAATCCCCGCATGGGCCACTGTGAGCTGCACCCTCCTGTGTAACCAATGACCATGGCTGTTCCCCAGTAAAATTAAAAAAAAGAATGATTGGGAAAAATTTTAAACAGTAAAACCTGGACTAGCCTTTATTTCTGAAGTAATTAAAACAGTGTGATAGTAACATGAATATGACAAGAATGGGACAGAAAAAGAAGCCCAGAAATTAGACCCGAATACCTAAAAGAATTTAATAAATGATAAAAGTGGAATTTCAAATCAATGGGGTGAAATGGATTACTAAAAAAAAAATAGTGTGGGTGCACTGGGTATCATCTGGGGGGGGGAGGGAGAAAGCTCTTTCCCTTTCTGAAAACTTATGCCAAAATAAATTCCAACTAAATCAAATATTTAAATATATAAAAGAGGAAATATAAAAGAGCCAGAATAACTATGGGGATTTAAAAACATGTAATATTGAAGAAAAATCTTTCCAAGTATGAAAACTCACCTCAGAGTTCCTTAAAAAAAAAAGGGCCAGCTGAGTGGCTCAGTTGGTTAAGAGTTCACTCAAGAGTTTGAGCTCTAAGCAACAGCGGTTCGAGTTCCAGCCCAAGGTGAGCAGCCGCTGAGCTGCCAACGGGCGGCAGGATGGCTCAGTTAAAAAAAAAAAAAAAAAAAGACCAACCACATAAAAATGAAATTTTCTACATGGCTAAGAGAGAGCTAGGAATCAAGATCAAACGGTCAACTTGGGAAAAATACATGTACCATAACAAACACACAGAACTAATTTCCTATTAGAAAAAGAACAACAGAAAAACAAAAGGAATTAACTCAGCTTGCAGAAAAGAAAATATAAATGGTTTTATTTTTTAAAATAGCAGCTTTAGCGAGATGTATTTCATGGCATAAAATTCACCCTTTTAAAGGGTACAATTCAGTGGTTTTTACTATATTCAGAGGTTGTGAAACCATCATACTATCCAATTCCATAACATTTTCACCACCCCCAAAACAAACGCTGTACAAATTAGTGGTCATTCTCCAACAAATGGATTCTAAACATATGAAAAGTCATATTCAAATGAAAACACATCTCTAAGACCGCACAGATCAAAACGTTTGATACACTATATTGGCAAGGGTGAGCACAAATCTGTACTCCTGCACACTGTGCCTGGGGACGGGAGTGGGGTGGGGGTGGGGGGTGAATTATTACAATCTGGGTGGAGGGCAGTGGACGGCTATCAGAAAAATTTCAAACACACGCATCTCTTTGACCCAGCGATTCCACATCCAAGAACTTAACTGTACAGATATACATACATATGTACACGAGGCGTCTGTAAAGATATTGATTGCTAATGTTTTCTTCTAAGTTTTTGCTATCACAATCTAAACATACATCAGTAGAAAAGAACTATAAATCAGCCTATGTACACAGATACCAGGGACCCTGTCTGCCTCAGCGAGGAGTTGGGAATAGTAAAGCTTCTGTAACATATGCACATATTACCTATTCAAAAATTTATTTAAAAAATACATATAAAGAATGTTCTTGGGCATCAAACTAAAGCCACATCACGCTATTTTAACACAGCGGGAAATGTAATCTGCAGCAAATCCACTGTGCCCCCCACCATCGGGATTGAGTTACTGAAACCCCAGAAAGGCACCCTTCTAAGGTGGCTCCTGGCCGGAAGCCGATCCTCTGACCCAGGCCTAGAAGTGTCACTTAGCAAGAACTGAAGTTGTCTCAGCCCTCACACAATGGACCACATGTCAGGGAGACAAAATCAGGAGTAAAGAAAGTCTTTTCTGCCTTCAGGAAAATAAACATCTAGTAGGCTAAGAAAGACAAGTACAGAAACAACTTATACTCCTTATCATTAATTATATGGCACTTCGCAAGCCAAAAGCCTTTTTCATAAACCTTTTTGTAGAAATTTTCAGGAACATACTAAGGTAGGAAAAATAGTATAATGAACCTCATGCACCTGCCTCAGTTAAAAACTTTTATAGAGAAAACAAAACTGTCTACGCCATACTGACAGCTGTACACAATTTCTGGTACTGATAGGATGTTCTTTGTGTCATAAAGTGGAAAAACAACTTTGAAGCACTTTCACATTTCTATTTCACTTGAAGCGGAAAGAGGCCACATTATCGTTTTACAGATGAGGGCTCGGAAATCTTAGGAGCTGTTCAATCTCATACACCAGCTGGAAAAGTCAGTTCTAGAAGACTCAGCACCTATGACGTGGCGGGGGGGACAGGCTTCCGAGCCTCAGGCTGGGTTCAAATGCGACTGTGTTACCACTGTGTGAGTCTGGAGAACCTATCCTTTCTGAGATTATTACTTCAGCTATAAAATGGAGATAATGATTTTTCATTTTGGACACTTATTTAATAAGAAAGCGGACTGCAAAGGGCTGCAGAAATGAGGTGATAATTTTGTCTGAGGTCGGGGGTACTCTTTCCCTGGGAACAGCGTTTGAGCTACATCTTGGAGAACCGGGAAGTTTACCAAGCAAAGGAAGGGAGGTTTTCTAGGTAATGAAACCATCACAAAAACATATTTGGGATGGTGTCTAGTCCCATTTGGTTAGTGACTAAAATATCTGTAATCTCATTATCCCCAGTGCCTCACACAAAAGCTGGCATATAGGAAGTGTTCAATAAATATTTGTTGAATAATGAATGAGTGAACAGGAGGTAGAAGGTGAACTGAGATGAGAGAGGTTCTTGAACATCTAAAATCTCAAGTGGGGGAGCAGTGGGGCAACTAACAAACACAGTGATCGTCACTCAGCAGGATGTCCCGAGCTGAAAACACTGGTCTCACCTAGGAAGTTAATCTTAGTTTACTGAGTTAAAAGAAATCATTTTTAAAATCCTGTGCCGGGCTGACCGAGTGGCGTGTTGGTTAAGAGCTGGCTTGGGATGCCAGAGGGCCCCGGTTTGGATCCCACATATGAGGGCCAGTGACACTGCCCTCTACAGCTAAGATGCTGA